GAGGTTGCAGGTTCCGTCCAAACCAAAACCACCGGATCAGAAGGGCCTTCTCCATCGAAAATGTGTGCACCTAGTGCAAGCGGTGAACTCGAACAAAGGCCTCGGATTGTGTGATCATGTCTCCAGCCGTGGTAGGGATCTCAATAGTTTCAATCACTGCGGAGGGCACGTACAGCTGTGTCGGTGAGATGTCTGAGACATCAGGTTTCTCACCCTCATCGAAGCTAATATGTGCAACCTTGACTGAAGCTGCATAGACTTCCCACTCTTTCGAGATGATGACCAAGTCAGAGATCTGTTCAACCCTAGAGGCGACAATCATGCCATGCCTCAGGGTGACCTGCGTCAAGGCATACTGGTCAAGCTCAATGCAGGATCGAAGCAGGTCATGAACAGACCATGCGGGGTCACAAGAACCCTCAATGCCATGTGCGCCCTGACAATTGGTGATCACACACTTCATGGCAGGCGACTCTCCCATGGGGCACCGAAAAGGAATGCGTTCAAAAGCAAAGGCAACCTTGGAAATTGTCAAGAAATTTCCCTCAATCTGCACAAGAGCATTGTGTGATAGTCTCAACATGGATAGCCTGCAATCCTACCAAAATGGCGAGAGCAGCTTGAGGAACTGCAATGGCATTACCAAGGACATGGTATGCATCAATCGGCTGATACTCGACTGAGACCCTGGTTTGGCCCCCCAACAAAGCAACAATACGAGTAGGTTCAATCCATTGGAATCCATCAGGCCCTGAAGAAAAGAACGCAAAAAGGCCTCTTTGAGCGACATGGTGTGAGGCAAGCTCATGTTGATGGCCGTATGAAGCACAAATGGTGGGGAGTGGGTCCATCGGATTGACAACACGTTCCCTCAAAACCGAGTCGATCACAGCATCTGACGCTACCCTGGCCTTCTTGGCTGGCGGAAGCAAACCACGATTGCCATACAATCGTTGCAGCTCTTCGGAAAGAAGCAAGCTTTCTCGAACATCCTGAGGGAGGGGAAAGTCATAAAGACTGGATGACCATTGGCACACTTGCAAGGCTTTCAATTGGAATTGTTCTACAATAGATGCAGGGTTCATGTCAAGTCGAGCCCATGCAGACACCCATCGACTCCTCATGTTGTGGGACATCGGATGATATTCAACAACCTGTTGCCAGATCCTACGAAAACCACAAAGTTTCAGCAAGTGGGAGACTAGTCCAAAGTGTGGGTGCTTCACGATCTCGTCTGCGCATTCATAGACTTGGAGATTGGGCTGCAGGATAACAGTAAGGACCACAGCTTCGATGAACGAGTACCCCGCTGGGGAATTGAGACCTTGAGCCTTACCTCCCTTACTCCATGTCACACATGGGGGAGACGCTGTTCCGACAAGATTGGAGCGGACTCGAATCTGATGACACAACGTGCAGTCATTCACTGGAGCACATAGTCCTACATGTGAGCTGGGGCGCCAGGGGTGCTCAGGTGCAGTCGATCCGAAATGCACTGGCTTCTCAAACTGGTTGGCCCAATTCTGCATGGTACGGGGATCACTGTCAACATAGAATTGCTGAGCGACATGGTGAAAAGGCTCAAATCTACAGATCGCCTCAAGCGCTTGTGACCACCCGCAGAAAGATCCAGAAAACATGTGGATCGCTGAGATCGGACTCCGCGGCTCCCAAACTGGAACATTCGCAATGATCGTGTCTTTCGTCATGTCGAATCGGTTGGGGTAAGTCTGAACTAAACCTCCAAAGAAAGTCACAACATCCCCTTGTTGAAAATGCCAGTCTCGAGAGTTCAAATCCGGCACAGCAATCTCCCAAGTTCCCTCTCCTGAGAAACCAAAACCCTTCCCTGGGGAAAAGCTTCTGGGCCGCACCCACAACGATGATCCTGAAACGTCACGCACTTCTCCCTGAAAAAGCACTTTCCCAGCAATGCGAACAAAGGGGCCAGCACTACCAAAGGAAATGAAAAGCTCCTCAAGGCTATGCTTCCAGGGATCGTCAATCTTAGATCTAATCATCTCTATCAATCGTGAGCCCATGATGCCACCAGACCACAACAAAGTCAGAACCACGGCACACTCCACAAGGACAGGGCTGCAAGTCCGTCGGCGGTCCTGCTTGATGGACGATGCACCCACCTTTCGAGGGTGGCCAGCACCCCTAGGTGGCCCTACACCTTCAGCCACTCGGCTTTGGGCCTAGATGGCTCCCTGGAAGTCTATTCTGTTCATGTTCGATGGTCAACCAGGGTACCCGGATTCTGTTCATGTTGTACGTTATTCTGCAGAGTCTTGCGGCCATACATAGATTGCTCGCACATGAACCAGCTAAGGCGCAACAACTCATTCAACTAGCATTCGATTACCAAACTCGAGCACAAGGGCCTGCAGGGGCATTAATGTCAAACCTGCATGAAATTCAGTGGCTTCTTCACTGAGATGGCAAAATCACAGGACCAGGAAGCCTCTATATCAATCTCCAACAGGATTCCACAAAAGAGATTAAAACAAAGGTCATCGAAGCTTGGGACTGGGTTGTTCACACTTGGATTCAACATCGCAAAGGGGTGGGGGATACACCTTTTGATAGCACGGTGACAAACTCTATGTGGAAAAAGATCCCAATCAATGACAGAAGATGGATCCAAATGGACATCACAGCTGGTTACCAACCACTGACGCAGATACAAAAATGGTCACCCCGTACAGATACTACATGCCCATTCTGCCAATCACCCGATTACTCGTGAACATGACAATTACACTGCCCTATGTTCGAGACAGTTCGTGCAAGACATGAACAAGCAGTCCGAACACTGGCACAAGATATCAAACAACATCATTTTCCATCATTTTCCTCTACCACAACACTACAAAGATATTGAACCAATTCAAGCTGGGATGCTGCTAAGAGGAACGTTACCGCTAGCCCCACTAGACGAACTACATGTCTTCACAGATGGCTCCTGTTCGGATCCAACCCGAGTACACACACGCCGTTCTGCCGAACGGGCGGTTGTCCTATTCAATGCACCCTATGGGAGCGATAGTAATCATCATTCATTCCAAGTAGCAGCGACCGCACATACGCAAGGAATCCAGACCATATCTAGAACTGAACTATGGGCGGTAGTCTGGATTATAATTGTGCTGGAAGAAATCCTCATACCAAATTGCACATCTATACAGACAGCCGGTACGTTTTCGACGCCGTGGTTAGCATAGAACTAGGCACCTTAAATTTCGCAGATCAGACACATGCCCACTCAGACTTGCCGAATAAGATAATTCAAGCATGGCAGCCAGGAAAGTTCGTTATCCATAAGGTCAAATCACATAGAAACCTTGAAGACGCTAGAAATTACCAAGAACCCTTGGAGATTCAAGGCAACAATCTAGCAGATAAAGCAGCGGTTTCGTGTCGATTGCAAGATATCTCATTGCACTGGCGGATAAAGCAATACATCATGAACAATCTAGCACATTGTCCATTTGGTACTATCTTATTGACCTCAACAAGACCACTTATGCCTCAGTTCGTCAGACTCAACATCAATCTCAATCTACACTTTCAAGAAGCTCACCACCGTCGTATGGTCGCTTGTCAACGCCATGTCCAACTGGAATCCTAGCATTCAGGGTACTGTTCGCATTCAGGGTACTGTTCACCCAATCGTCCTTACATCCTGTATTTGGGGACATCGTTTTTCGCAGCCGCAGTCTGGGCTTTCTCTCAATAGTTTGGCCGCCATGTGATCACGTTCAAGTAATGACCCAGGAGTCACATGATCACAACGGGTATATCACTACCAGTCCCAATCCAACATACACGATGGAATGTGGAAGCACTCGATCCAACGGATACCAGAGTCACAGTTCTACCGGCCCATAAAAGATCACTAAAACTACAAGCAGAGACCTTTCGCCTAATCTTACGACATATTGAATCATTCGCACAAATCGATCTCATTCCAAAGTACAAACTACAGGATGCTAAAAGTTTGGAACGACTCGGATTTAAGAGGCAAATTTGTGGTGGCATGCCCTATCGACCAGTACTGCCGAATTCTCGCTAAAAGCTCCAGGCAATCATTAACTACCAAGCTGAATCTAATCAGAACCCACCATTTAATACAGACGCGCCATTTGCCAATACCACTACAAATGTGGAGTGCAGATTCCTTCCTATCCCGAAGTTTACTATGAACAACGGTATAAGCTTAAAGAGAAGGTATGGGATGCCAAAAGAAAAAAGAAACCATATATATAATTCAATTGCCGATCCATATGCCAATTAGATAAGTCATTGATTGTCCAGTGCATGCATAACATTGTAATTTCGATCCTGTCCTTGTCTTTAGCTGTGTCGCTCGTGAGATTTAACTCCTGGGAAACCGGCTATCCACTTAATTCAATGGTTGGTACAGACAGTTTGTTCTGTGTTCTGATACTTTCACACACCGTCTTTTCACACTCCTCATACCCGGTACCACGGTATAGCAAGGGATGTTGGGAGTAGCACGTGGAGATTGTCCGCAAGTTGTGTTACCAGCCTGGTTTTGACCCACAGCAACGAAGCTGAAGATGACCCCCAGCAGGTAAACTGGTGTGTTGCACTGTCCAACCATGAGTTTGTTTAATGAGATTGTGCAATTTCGGGAAGGTGATCGAACAGGACTTGTGCGAGTGATGTTGGATGTCCACCATGTCATTTCTGGGTGCCTAGGTTTCCCTTTGTCGATCCGCAGTTTTGGAGGGATGCACCAGTCAGTCTCCAATTTTGGAAATCCAGTGCCTCTGTTCCGGATTTCTGCAGAGTGCAAAGCTTCAGCTCCAACGGCAAATGCCTTGGGCAATGGCAGGGGCTCCAATTTCAAGTCACAGATTCCACGGAAACCCAGGTATTGTAATTCGACTCATTGCCTCCTCAGAAATGGACAGTGGCTTCGCTTGTTTTTCAAAAGTCTCTGCTTCATGTTGTTTTGATGAAGCATCGAGGATCTGATTGGCACCCCCGGGGGTACGCGCTTCTCCTTTTTCAAGGAGACCGAGATTGTGGCTTCATGGCGACATTGCTCTGGTCAGCGGTCTGGTCGCAGATGCATCGAAGTGGACAGCTGGTACATCCAAGGGTTGTGGGTATACTCCCTAGGGCTCCAACCATATCCTCAGAAGGTGGTTAGACCCCCCAAACCCACCCCAACCACTTTCTCAGGAGGTGGTTGGAGCCCTAGGCACTTGGTACGCTGTAGGAGTCCAGCCGGAGCATTCCAAAACTCGAAAGTCATCCGCGATCCCATGTACCATCCATTCTCGGACAGGAGCATTTCTGATCCGGCGCTCCTCGGCCACGGCTACACATTGTGCAAAAACTGTGAGGCCTGACAATTGCGCTCCGTTTCCTGTGACCAATGAGACCAAACGGCTACACGTTGCGCTCAGGCGGTTTTCAGTGAAGTTACGCGACAACCACATCAGCCGCCTGCAGTCGACAGGTTTTGACGATTTTGTGCCTGTATGTATATATGTTATGTACAGACAGTCTTCGAGCTGTTGATGCATCTAGGGAGTTTGGGTTAGAGAATCTTCCTGCATTTCTGCATGATTCAACAGCCGAAGAGGGGTGCAGGATTCCCCTCCAGGTCTTCCCTGGAAAGTGCCTAGCACTCCTGGCGCCCATTCGGGACTGTCCAGATGTCCCTTCTTTCAACCTTCGTGTCCAGTTCCAGGTGCAACTCAGGGCAACCTAGGTTGGGTCGTTGATGACATTGATCACTGACTGGTGTGAGCGCAAAGGGGTGAAGATGTGGGCCTTTTTGACTTCGATCGCCTTTGCGATCGAACCCACTGGGATTGTAATGTGCAGCTCTGGCGATCGGGTCGGCTGGCCGTGGCTCCTCGGTAAAACTGACGCGCCACTGCCGGCTGGAGAGTGACCGACTTCACGAAAACAACGCGAGGTTGGCCGCAAGGACTCATGGCAGAACTGCACTCCTGCACTCCACAAGAGGCATTTTCGAGTCAAGAGGAGGCTTTAGATAGAATAATCAGTTCAACTTGGAATTTACTTTCAGTCATGGTACATCTCGGAAATGGCTTTGTGCCAAGGGACCTTCGCATCTGGAATCACCAGAGGCCCCATGGGCGCGGTAAACTGCACCGCCGGACGTTCCCTTCGCTCCCAAGCTGCATCCTGGGAGCGTCCCAAGCTTTCTGAACACGACTGGAGCTTATTTAAAGTAAGCTCTAGCAGTTTGCCGCAAACACTATCGGTCACAAGTCCCGATGGTTTATGAAAGACAGAGCTCTTTGGCCAAACTTTTCCTGACACTAAATCACATCGCCAGTTCAATTGGGATCATTGAGACGATGTTTTTTGTTCATTCTCAAGCCTTTCTGAAGACTTGGAGCAACAAACAAAACAGAAGGAGACTGCTCCATATGGTACCGCCGCCTTTTTCTGGTCAGGCGACCCCGGCCACCTGTTGCATATCCTCAAAAACACAGATACATGATGATATGTGATGTATCAAGAACTACCATAGAATGTATTAACGTCAGCCTTTCATGTGAGACTGCCGGACCTTCCTGACCTTGCTGACGTCTCTTTGACAAGGGACATCCTCACTGGCACACATGGACACAGCAGACACACAGACACAGACATGGGTGACATGGTTATGAACGTGTCTGGGTCATAGGAGGTGGAGGTTTGATTCCAAGACCGCCAGCTTTAGTGTTTTTTTTTGTCCCTGAACTGGCACAACATCTTTGGACTTTCAGCTTTGGACACTTTTTGCAGCCATGGCTGACACTTTGCAGCATTGCTGGTGTTTTCTTCTCTTGGTTCTTGTCCAATCCACTTTGAGGCGAGGTCCTTGACTCCTCCTGGTATGAGAGAATTGTGTGATCAGTCGAGAGAATCGAGCTGCAGCTCCAACCAAATGAATGAGTCAAACACGTCAACCAAATGAGAACGTAAAGCAGGGCAAGAACGGGAGGATCACCGGCTAGGTCCCAGCTTCTTCCGCGTGGCTTGCTGTTTTTCACGCCCTTGTGGTGCCTGAGGACTGTCGACAAATCCTGCTTCTGGCAATGCTGGCCTTAACAAGAGCCGACATGTACCTCAACAGTTGGGAGAGCCCAGAGAGAAATCAAGTGACATGTGGAATTCTCCTGGACTTGATGTGTTGAAAAACATTCCACAGCACTGTGCTTTTCAAGACTTGTTAGGCACCCTGTAGGTCTTACTTATATAAATGCAGTTGCAGAGCGGCAAAGGCGCTACTAGGAACAAGAAGCTACTAGGGGCTCCTGGCATCGCCACTAGGAACCAGGACGCTACGAACGGGGCTCCTGAGGATGTGACACGAAGGTCGAAAGGTGACACATTGGGTGTAGTTTTCCTTCATTCAATGATCAACTTCTCATTTTTCAGTGCGATCTGAGATCTGTTCCCCCTGAGATCCGCGTGGCTCCAACAACAAGCTGCGTGAGCAGAGCAACAACGTGCAAAATGCCAATCGTGCCTTGTCTCGGCATTTTGGACAGCGTAAGATACATACTCTCAAAGCGTTCACTTGGGGATTTGAATCTATGGAAGTCATGGCGATTTGCGTTTAGTTGGGGAGAAGACAAGCAGCAGCGGCAAACAACACGACGATCAAGCAAAACGCCGATCGCACAGGCAAACGAGTGGGGAGGCAGGTGGGGAAACAAGTAAGGAGGCAAGGCAGCAGCGGCAGACAAAACGCCGATCACAGCAGACAAGCGGGGAGACAAGAAAGAAGGAGGGAAAGAAAGAAAGAAAGAAGGACAGGGGCGAGAGCATATACATGATGAGGTTACCTAGAGATTTTCATATCCTAGGGGCACTCGTTCACCCTCTCGTTCATCCTCGTTCCGATACCTCTCTGCAAAGAGATGTCAAGGGACCACAAGCAGACTAGCATCATTGCTAAATCATTGCGTTTCCGTGCCAGAAGCTTGTTGTGAATGCATGAGAATTGTGCTTCAGATGGAACTTCAGAACACATCAAAAACCTTGCCAAATCATCGCGTTTACGTGCGGCAACCTCGTTTTTGCACGGCTTGGCAAAATGACATTTCTAAATGATTGCGTTTACGTGCAGGAACGTTGCTTTGAACACATGAGAACTGTGTTCGGGAAGGCACACCAAAAACATTCACAAATCATCGCGTTTACATGCGGAAACAACGTTTTTGCAAGGACTATGCCGGGAGCCCCCTCTTGACGTCGCGTTTGCATTGGGGAGCACAAATTTTTCCTAGTATGCCGTGACTTCCACGGCTGAGTGTAGTTGTTTTTCTTCCATCAATGGTAACAAACGACTCTCGGGGAGTGATGTCGTGCCTTCAGAGATTTGATAGACACTTCTTGGACCCCAACCACTGACTGGCCTGCAGAACTTCAACTTTGAGGGATCCATCTTCCAATGCACCTCTCCAGATTTTCCGGTCCTGATGCATCTATCCGGATCGGTATTTCTTCGGCAGCGCATCGAGGCTTGTTCGATTCGCAGAACAATGCAGCTTCAGGGTATCAAATCGGAGATGACTGCAAGCCAACCTGCAAGGACGTGGGAAGGAATTTCGGATCGACTCCGCCGACTGAAATGTGGGTCGTTTTTTGGTAGGGATGGGACTGACAACCATATCATGTCATGTATCATGATTCGAGATCTGTCCTCGGAGACTAACTGGTGTTCGAAGGCAAAAAAATTAGACTGGGCCCCGCCGCCTGGTGCTTGAGTCGCTGCTGATGTTCCCTCACGTTCCCTCCAGGATGGCAATGCTTACGATGTCACCAAGGAAGGCGCTACAAAGGGCACCATGAAGTTCTACCAAGGTGCCTCTAGCAGACTGTCTGCCACACTCACGGTGGAGTCCTCTCTGTGACGGCGGCCACCGAAGAAACGGTCCTTACCGCACGCGTGCGACGCAGGATCGGAGCTTTACATCGAATGGCATCATCAGCAGCCTGGAAGGATGAACACAAGCTGTCAGGTGTATCCACAACTTTCTCGGCTTCGCCCTGATGTTCATGTGATTTCATGTGATTTTCACGTGAGACTAGAGAATATCCTGAGGCATGGATGCGGAGTTGGGCATCCAAACGTTCGTTGCCAAATCATCCTTCAGTACATGAGCCTTCAACTCAGCATGTGCCGCCAAGCCAAGCCGCTCCATGGCTCGGTGGCCAAGGCGAAAGTGACAATGTCAATCTGCGTGATGGCACAGGCGCAACCAAGCAGCGGGCCCGGGCCCCGCTAGCAGCGGAGCAGGAAGCTTTGATCTTTTTTCTTTATATCGCTGTTGACGAGTTCAATGCGTTTCATCTAAGTTTGTTGTTGCCTATGTTTGTTGCCATCTTTTTTCCATCTCGCAGTACAGATCACAGTGCGCAAGAACAGATTGCAGTGATTGCAGCATGCATGCAAGTTCACTTTGGGGCATGCGGGAGTAACTTTAGTTGACGTAAGTAGCTACACAGATCAGAGATGTGTTATTGTCGCCGTTTGTCCGCAGATCAAATAACCGCTGGTGGAGATGATCAAAACGACCCCACCGAAGATGCCACTGCTGAGCCCGGTCGTGGCTATCATGAGCCCTTGGATTTCTATCAGGCGAAGTTGCTGGTCTTCAGCTTGAAGGGAAACAATAACAGCAAATATCGATATGTTTCAACACTATACAGGGTACACATATATAATATGTATATACTGCATAGATATATATATATATTTATCAATAGCAATAATGATACTACTACTACCAATAGTAAAAACAATAATATATATATATATTATATTATATATATATATTATATATATTATATATATATTATATATATATATATTATATATATTTACTGTCCTTCCATATCCTTCTACCATGCAGTTTGCACGTCCGTCCCAGACTATCACACATGTATACACTGGGAATCCATACATTTTCGTGTTGAAGCAAGTCTCTGGCAGAGTCTGTTTCACCATCCTTTTTGCTTGGGATGGGAGGGTGCATTTGTTCCTCAGACACTCATGACTCATGACACCATTGTTGGTGTATTGTGTTGAAAGATGACTGCACAGGACCAGCACTGTTTGACTTATACTCGTACAGCTTTGTGTGATGTTGCTTTGCCTCTGTGCTCCTTGGTTTTTCACTGCCATGGTGGCGAAACGCGAGATACTGGTCATTTTTCCGAAGCCCCAATAAGCCACACAGAGTTTAAAGGGAGGGTGAAGATCGTCGTTTAACGTACCCCTTTCCCTCCCTCTTCTCCGGAGGCGTGTGCTTCACGGGAGCGAAA